AAACTGACTATGCACTGTTTGTTGCTTCCTTAACTGATGAATTGGAAATGCTTGGTTATATAGTATTACAAATGCATTGAACACATTTCCAGTTACAAGTCTGCAACCACCAAAATATCTATAAGATGTTTAATGATGGATTAGCACCATTATAATTGTTTTAGCGAGTGCGTGTGTCCGTGACGCAGGATAGCCTTTGCTTTAATGATGGTATTGATGAGATAAATCTGACATTAAGCATCTTACAGAAATTAGATGATTGCTGACTTTTGGCTCGCCCTCTTTTAAATAACGAGTGAGTAGGAGACACCAAAATCAGGATACCAGTATCTAACTCAAAAAACTGGTATTGGTCAAACTCTGCAGTCTCTAATACATTTCCATGTCGCCTCGTTCACAAAATATTTTTTGACATCCATTTTAACCCATCTTGCCTTTTTCCCCTTATTCCTACTGTTTAGATTCCTAAATGGAAATATGTTAATTGCCCACAAACTGTATTTGTAAGTGAGGCTGTTTTTTGTCTGTCTCACTAACTGTATTGTCACTCACTCACTTTAACCTTTGTGCTAAGGTTTTACTAAGTTCAGAAAACTACTTTTGTGTCTGAAGCATGTCTTGCATTAAGTCTATGCATGGTCACAGGCCCCCCATGTGCACTTGAGTGTCGATAAAATACAAATGTGGTATAATCTGATATTTTGTTAAGTGAACAGAAATTATGCCCGCAGCAGGTGAATTGTATGTGGCCCCTGAAGTGTGCAGTGGGTGTACAGTTAGTATTCTGGAGGCCCCCCCCCCTTTTTTTTTTTATACACACATTATATATATAAAACGTGATCACAAAGTATACACTGTTATGTAAGCGATACTTGATATTTGTGTGTTTAGCTGAATGCAACTGTAGCCTTTTGCCCTTGACTAATGCTGATTATGATTAATATACCATTTATTTTGCCCTCCTTAGCAGTAAGACAAGGAGTTTTTTGAGTTCCTTTCACTTTACTGGGTTAATGAATTTCTTTCCACCTCATTGCATGCGTTTATTTTTCCACTAAGAAGAGATTTGGTCTTGGTTGAGTATGCTGTGAATTGGTGCACAGATTTTTTTGCAAGTGTGTTGTGTGTGTTCAGTACATTAAATCTTCATGTGCAAAAATACACAATTTAAAAAATGTTAGTGTCAGAATTGAATGTTTGTGAGTTTTTATGTATTTATTTATATTGTATTTTTTTTCCCCCCAACTATGTGCAGGTGAGGAACAGAATAAAGAGGCGCTGCAAGATGTGGAGGACGAGAACCAGTGAGACATCACAGCCAATACGAGACTCCACCCCACCCCACCCCACCCCACTCCTTCCCAAACCCACTCACAAAGGGAGCCACCAAGCCCAACCTCAAGAGTGACACTCAACAGCTTGATGCCTCCATTTTTTTCTCCCTTTGTTTCATTTTTAATATTATTCTTTTTATTAGTCCTTTAATTGAAATAAAAGAACCACTTCTGAGACAAACATTAATTGTAATTTCTGATGGGCAGAGCTTAAAGAGTTCTTGGAATTTTTTTTTTCTTTTGTCCTGGTACAATGTTCCTTTTTTATGTTTATTTGCTTTATTCCTCAACATTTTATCAGTTGCTGGATATATTTTGAGTTTTTCTTAATGTAATTACAAAATTAACTTTTATTACTATTACTGATATGTCTACTATTAGGCTATTAGTTGTTGGAGCTGTAATATTTCTGTGTTAGTGCAATTATTAAATGCAGTTAAAATGATTAAAACTTTGGAAAGGGCGAGTCGAAATAAAGTGCTCTTTGTTAATTTAGATTTTCAGAGCAACTTGCAAGTTTCTTGATATCCATGTGAAGCAAATTGCTTAACATCACAAAGTAGAAGTTATGTAGTGATACTTTAGCAGTGGTCTGGACTGTAATTTGTGCTAAAATACTGTATTGCGCACATAGGCTGATGGTGGTGGAGGGATAGTTGCAGCTCTAAAAAAAATAAATACATATTGGAAGGAGCCTTATTGCTTTTAGAACTCAAATGCAGGTCTCCATTGGCTGTTTGAAAAGAATAAAAAGCACTAATAAAGTTGATTTGAAGCCCACAAAAAGATATGAAATAGTCTATTTCTCTTCTTCCCCCAAATTTAGACATTGCCTACAATTTCTTCTGTACTTTTTGTTCATATTTAACTTGAAGCTAATTTGTACTACTGGAAATATGACTGGAGCCACAGACATAAAATCTGTATTGTTCTTACAGAGAAACAGCATGGAATTAACATTGAAGTTAAAATAAAACTGCCTCAAATAAAACCTGGCCCTTTTGTGCTATAAGTATTTTGTTTTCTGCTTTTTTCCATGCTGATGAAATTCCTTCTAACAAGACGATATTTACCTGGATGGGTATAAAATTAAAAGGATTTAAAATGTACTCCCTAAATAATTTGAACTATTCTATGTTCCTACACACTTAAAAATTATGATTCTTCGATGGTTCTTTGTAAAGAAAATGGTGCTATATAGAACTGAATGCTCAAATAACCCATTGCGTGATTAAAGCGTTCTTTGCATGGTTAAATGTTTTTTTTTGTGTGTTGTATGTGTTGTAGATTGTTCCATATAGAACCTTTTTCAAAAGGGTTGTATATAACACCAAAAAGGGTTCTTCAATTGTAACATGCTTGACATTGTTACAATACAAGAGACCTTTTCAAAAAGCTTTAATTTCCATCATCACATTTTCCATCAATCTGGAGAACCATTTCACCATGCAAAGACCCCTTTAACCATTCAGTGGGTTCTTTAGTGTTCATGGTTCTATATAGACCATTGTCTTGACTAAAGAACAGTGATTTCTAAGCGTGTAGGATAGAGAAAGGCAGTTATTCACAATATCAAGAGGTTAGAATGAGTGATTCTGGTGGAGTTGTATGCAGTCTTAAAAATTAACTTGGGTTAATGTGTAGTTTAATACTGAAAGAATATGTTTATTTAGTCTCAGGTTTCTCAGCAGATTATAAACTTTTTTTTTCCATTCCTGCTCCAGCGTTCAGTGTCCAGTGTCTAGTGGGGTTAATCACATTTAAAATAAAGTTTACACTCCGGTACATTTGACAGTAAGTTTGTTCTTCATATATCCTTATATCGTATATATCAAAAAAGAAGTGCTCGGCCTACATTTGGCTATTTTTCACTGATATAAGCATTCAAGCAGGAAGATGATTTCTCTGAAATTGTGGTTAATATTATTAAATTAATTTAGATATCAACAAATTACTTTCTCTCTCTTAAATACTGGATGTTTCTATTTAATTGTGACTTGTCATATCTTACAATGAAGTGGCTGAGTTAAAATTTTCCTTTTCATGCTGAGGTCCCATTTATTAGTAATGTTTAATGGTTTAAATTGCTCATTACCCCAGTTAGCTTTCCTGTAGTCTGCAGCAGCAGATTGGAGTGTTTTTCCTGCTCTAACACACCTGATTCAGCTCACTGACTTGACTGATTGTTAGCTAATGATGTGGCTCAGGTACAGAGAGGGAAAACATCAAACTATGCAGTGCCGCTTGATCTGTGTGACTGGAAATGGGAAATACTGGCTTTAGTGCAGATGTTGGGACTATTGGCTGAAGAATGATGAATATGATCACATGAAGTGCATGTGACTTTCTGCAAGTGATATTTATGAGAAAAGGAGTCTGCTTTTTACTCAGTTACATTTTAGTTATTAACATGTAGTTAATACTATTTAATTTTACATTTTATTGTTATATTAGTGACAGTATGCTTTGTGATCAGTCACACCTCTGACCTTTTAAGTTTATTATTTTATTTTAGACCAAGAGTTCATCAAAAAGAGAAGAGTCATGTCTAAGAAACTAAAATTTCTGTGCTGATATAAATGCTGGACGTACTAAGACGTTCCACTGCTGCTCTCAATTATTCAACTTACTCAGTATGTACATAGTTTTGTGATCTGTTACTTTATATTTTTACTTTTTTTTTAGACTAGTACTTTTACTTAAGTCTTTTTTTCATATTAGAAACAATATTTTTACTTGAGCTAGACTCTACCCTCTTCTGGCACTTTGAGAACCAGACACCTTTAAAGAGGGATGTTTCAGTGCTCTAGATTACAATCTTTTCAGTCACTGCATCAGCCCAGAGATCAACTCTGCCAATGAACAATCCAGTTACTTGGAAAACTGAAAACCACTGTTTCTCTGACCCCCAGCCTATGAGAAACGTATCTAATGTGTCAAACCTGCTGGAAACCTGTCTTCATTATAGTTGTTCTCTGGGAATCACTTTAACTTACAGGGGAATTCTACCGATTTTTTAAAGATGTAAACAAAGTCATTCAGAGTGGTTTGTTGTGAAATGCTCTGTTCTTGAAACTGTTGTTCACAGTGGTGGTAATGGGAACCAGACGTCTGAAGAGCTCTAAAACCTGTTTCCCAGAAATTGTTTACATGAATTGGTTTACAATATGCTGTCTGAGACCTTTTTACGATGCTTTTGGGATACGATTTTGTCATAAAAATATTTTTAAGAATCTATGTATTTTTATATTGCCTTGTGACGTTAGACATCACGACTGCTGCATCCTGTCAGACTTTAAATAAATCCGAGTCAGTAAGTTTCTCCACAATGAACCGTTTCACATCAAACCACTCTGAATGACTCTGTTTTCATCTCAATAAATAAATTGTGCAAAAATGTTTCAAAAAATTCCAATTTTAAAAAGGTACATGGCACACCGATGGATAGTCGAGTGTCTGAAGACTTTTATTTTTTAAATATGTTCTGAAAACTGACTGTACTCGTCGTCGCGGCTTCACTGCGTTCACAAGCCCCGCCCCCTTTCGAGCCAGTGCAGGAAGTTCTGACGGTTAAACATCCACACGTCGGTTAGGTGGAGGCGCTGGGAGCTACAGTTTAGTCATGTTTTAGGGGTTTAACGAATACAGAAAGAAGTATTCAGCGACATGTGGCAACAGAAAGAAGAAAAAGTGCGTTTAGCGCCGACGCCGGCCGTTTCCTTCCCCGTCCTTTGTGTTCTTGTTGTTGTTGTTTTGACTCCCTGCGTCCGTTCGGTTCCTGTCAGCGAGGACAAGGAGGAAGAACTGGAGACCTACAACAAATACTACGATTATGTGGAACTGAGCCGCCGTCTGCAGTCTCTCGCCCAGAAATACCAACACATCGCTGATTTGAGGAGCATTGGGAGGTCGGTGGAGGCCCGGGAGCTGTGGGTGATGCGGATCACCAGAGAGCCTAGAGCTGATGTTCCTGGCAAGCCGAAGTTCAAATACGTGGGCAACATGCACGGAGACGAGACGGTTTCTCGACAGGTTCTGGTTTATCTCATAGAGCATCTGCTAGCCAGGTACGGAGAAGACCAGCGGGTGACCGAGCTGGTCAACAACACGGACATTTATATCATGCCGAGCATGAACCCGGACGGCTTCGAGAACTCTGTGGAGGGGGACTGCAAAGGCGGAGGTCAGGGCAGGGTTAACGCCAAAAACGTTGACCTCAACAGGAGCTTCCCAGACCAGTTCAAGAAAATCGACGTCAGTATAGATGACGCTCCTGAACGGACAGCTGTTATGCAGTGGATCGTTGAGAACAAGTAAGTGAAGCCCTCTGGCCTAGTGGCTTCCTGGTGGAAATGTTGGGCCGAAAAGCAAAAAGATCTGAATCATTTGATTTATTCAAGAACGTTGTGGGTGGTGGGTTTTTTTTTACATTTACATTGTGCTCTTTTCTCCCTCCAGGTTTGTCCTGTCTGGGAACTTGCATGGCGGCACTGTGGTGGCCAGTTATCCCTTTGATGACTCTCCCTCACACAAGCAAGATGGTTTCTACAGCCAGTCACCTGATGATGCTCTCTTCAGGTACTTGGCTCGGGTTTATGCAGAGAACAACCCTGTCATGAGAACAGGGGAGCCCAACTGCGAGATGGATTCGGGTGAGAAGTTCAAGGACGGCATCACAAACGGAGCGGAGTGGTATGATGTGGCAGGTAATGGTCAGCACCCACTCAGCCTTCACACTGTGAGTTTTTGTATGCCTTTTTTTTTCACTTTAGCAAAAAATGAAGGCCCTTTGTTCACTTTGTGATACATTGTTTTTCTTTGTAAACGGCTGTTTTTACACATGAATTTGATTCTAATTATAGAAATAATGAGTAGGTTTGCTCACCTCACAGTGAAAGCAGCGAGACTGTGTACAACAGTAAGATTTTGCTTTTACCCCTGGAAACCTCTGCAGACATAAGGAGGCAAGTAATTGTGTTTAAAAATATGTGGTGCGCTGCATCAATCGCCACTGGACATCATGTTTGTTAGTATAGAATGCCAAAATAGCAAAGGATCAAAGTTTTTTTTTTTTACAGAATTTTTCCATTTGTCAAATTATGGCCGTTGCTCTTGGCTATTCATAAACAGATATTTTACATATATTATTGGCATATTTGTTACTCTAGTATGAAAGAGCACCTGTGAGAGGGACAAAAGTGTAGGTGGTAATCCAAAACCCAGTCTTTGAGTTTCCCTCTTTTGTGGAACCCTGCTGTCCTCTGATTCCTCTTTTTTACGACCCATTGTAACATCAGCTCAAATCCTTACTGCCCCCTCCCTACCTTCATCAGCAGGGCTTAGCCATCACTGTCAGCCAACAGGAACCTGATCTTCATTGTGTGCAGAGGTATGCAAGTCGGGTCCTACACTTGAAATATGAACCGATGGAGGAGAGAATGAACTGTCCATGCTTTGAAATCAGCTTAATATTTCTAGAACTTTGTGTACACCTCTGGTGCCCACAGCATCATTGTTTGGGATTCTGTTGGGATGTGGAAATGGTTCCAGTTGTGTCACCACGATCTGCTGTGAAGCTAATCCCGGGGTGTTGGGTTTTAGGATTAGGGCAGATTACATTTAAAGACTATGTGATGGTAATGTGGAGGGAAACAGAAGCCCCATTTCCACATTTGGTCTTAAATTGTGCTTTGGTCAGTCTTTGGCTTGGGATGGCTCATTGCTAAACCACTGGAGTATTATGGCCTGTTGAGGAAACACTGTTTTCGTTCAGTGTAATGGGGCTAATCTTATGGTTTTGCCCATTGACAGAGTTATATGATTACCTTCTACTTGCTTGCTTGCAACATCACAAAAACAAACTTGGCATAATCTATGCAAATCTGCTTGTCATGACCAATAATTACTGTATTGGTCAATCAGGAGTATTACTGAATAAGTGCTGGGAATAAAATGCTATATGGACAGGCAGTGTTTGTTATTATTATTCACTTTATTATTCAGCGCTTATAGGTTAACTGCCAATGTTAGCATTATTTCCTCTGCATCTCAGTGAGTGGAGTAAGGCCACTGTCTTTCACACACAGGGATGTGTTCTTTGAAAAACGTCATGTCTTACTGTGGAGGCACAAAAATGCTTATTTTCATGCTTTTACAGACATGGCTAAACCCCAAGCTCATCGCTTGCTCATCTTGGCAGGAAACAACAGCGAGAACCATTTACGAAATATGTTGTTTTGGAACCATACGCAGTGATCTGCGGATGGATCTTACACGTCTTAGTATCAGCATCAGTATCTTGCTTGTGTTAATGATTTCAGCTGCTATGGCTGTTGTGCCAGCACTCTTTCCCGTGTGTCTTCACAAGACAAAACAGCATGAACATGGTAATGACATCTCGATGTGCCGCAGAAACCTGAGCTAAATTTGAGCTTGTGAAAATGCATTTGATTTAATTAGAGTGAAGCCACATCCTTATACTCTGTGAAAGCACAGCACAGTTTTTGCAGTTGCAAGCATTAAACCTGTCATCTTTTCCTGTGAAATGATTTTGTGCAAATATCAGCAGGCTTGAGATGTGTGTTTTGCACTAAGCATATTGACTTTGAATTTTTTTTTTGATTGAGGGATCGTTGAGTCATGCATTTTTTTTAACCGTTTGAGTGGGTTGTTGATAGATTAGTTTTATTAATTAATTAGCATGGGAGTTTTTCATCTTATTGCAACAAAATAATAAAATGTCTGGCATGCTTAACATCTGTTCAGTGACCCTTAAGATTGTATAGCTTACATTTAACTGCTTTATGGCCTACAGAGATCAACTGCTCACAATTACTAGTTAATATTCAATATAATTACTTGTATATATTTAATTAATATTTAATTATCTGACTCATATTAGGGGTTTATGAAGTGGTACTGCCCTTAAACAGGATGCAAGTAAAGTTGTAGGTTAGAACTACTTGTTGTAAGTAAACTTTATGGCTCAGTCAACATGAAAAAAAAGGCTTTTGCACGGTCTTACTTCTTACTTTGAATGCGCAAGAATTTGTCTAGAACAGGATGTGTGACGTAGGAGACTAGGATCTGGTCTAATCTTTGTTTATTTTTGTGCCCTTTTGTTACAGATTAATCCACAGGTATTGCGGGGGGTGTGTTTTATTTGGTAGAGCTAACTTTGCGTTAAACTATCCAATATCAGGTTTTTAACATCCCGTTCAAAGTAGATTTTCCAGGGAGTGGACTCAGTTTGCAAGGTCAGATGAGCATTATATGAAAACATTAGGATGTAGGTACAGGCATGACTGCTTTAGCAAACTATGAGCTCATTGTTTGCTTGATACAGCTCACTATGGTCAAATGCAAGCTGCACTGAATAGAAGATGCATAGACACATCTCTGGATATGGACCCTGATGAGAAAAACATTGAGTGGAGTACAGTATAGTCATTATGTAGTAATAAGGGCCATATCTGAGCACTGATTTCTCTTGAGATTTGTGATTGCATGTATTAGAGTTAAGCCTGTCACAATTACTAGATAACTGCCTAATCACAATTATCGGAGCTGATTGCAATTATTTAGACTGACCATTAGTATTTGTAATAACATGACAGCTAAAGTTCTACCTTGTGATGTGGTGCTATAACATTTTAGATGGCAGTGGTCCGTAATGTTTGTGTATTTGAGCTTTGTGTGTTGTCAATTGGGAGATATTAAGTTTGGTTAGCTAGGAAGCAAGATCTAATCAGCCAATTTGACTAGCTCGTTGGTTGGTCATCTCCTTTGATCTTCCATACTTCCTGTGTGCTTGGTAGTACCACCTTTGTAACTAGGTTTGGACACTTTTTATGGGTTGATAGGCATAATTAGAAGCTAAATTAATCCTGTCAAAATTAGCCTCCTACAGTTAAGAATTCTTTCCAATACAGTTTCCATTAAAAATGCCCAGATTTGTTTTTCACTGTCTGACTGGGTCTCCAAGTATTGCAGCCTTCTCTGAAGTGTAGACATTTTTTGCTTTGTACTTTTAGTATGGGACACGATTAGAACCGACCTGGATTCGAATAGACCGATATTTACTCCTAACCTGCAGTTGGTAATAGGCCGGTGTGCCATGCACCCGTCCCCCGGACCCTGATGGCGGAACAGGAGGCGGCACCCAGGAGGTGGGGCTCGGGACTCGTGCACTCTCCACCACTCCCTCGCGTTTCTTTGGAGTTTCGTTCTCGCTTGGGATTCGGGCCCCGCCTTACAGCCGGCACTCACGGCCATATTCGGGGCCCGGAGAATGGGTGCATGCCACAGCTTCTTTGTTTTTATTTTGGCTAATCAAAGTTATGCACCGATGTGGTAGCTGTCAGCTGATCCATATGTCCAATATTTTGCATGTCTAAATCTTCCAATAGCATCATATAGAAGTCTAACATTTATTGCTCAGTAAATATATAAATCTTAAATTATTTTGATTTCATTGTTCACCTCTAGAAATCAACACGAGGGTTACATTATCCACATCAATGTGTTTATTGAGAGCAAACAAAGTTATTTTCTTCTCCACCTGTTGACCATCAGCAAATTTGGTTGTAAAGAAATTGGAAACAACAAAAAAAATTCATGATCGTTGAATCTTTAATTTAGTTTGTTTTATTGGCTGTAGTTGATGGCTTCCCTCAGTTAGATTTGAATTCTGCTGGGATTTCTTTTTCTTACTGCTTGTAACTTACACTTATACAGGCTACTTAAAAAGAAGAGAAACATGATCCTTCTTTGTTTGGAAGGGGTTTGGTGTCGTGTGTGTTGTATGGGGTTCCAGCACTCATAGCCATGGCAACTCGACTGAGGCATCCGAGAGGACTAGTCACTGAGCAGAATGTGGCAGTGTGCCACTCCGAACACTCACTGTTCTCTCTCTCACTTACCAATATGATCACTGTCTGCCCTTGCAGATACATGCCAGTCCTTTGTGCCATGGCACATTTCTTAACAGTGTCAGTCTCTAGCATTAACAGCTTTGTGTCACTTTGATTGTCAAAGACAAGCACAGTCAACCACGGCCTCACAGACAGGACTTTAAAATAGTTTCGGTGCTGTTTTTTCTCTTTGCAGCTGTTGGATGATAGATGGCTTTGTTGCACTTGCTCACATCACACCTATGATACGTAGTTTTTCCTTTCTACACAGGTGGGATGCAGGACTACAATTACCTGAATGGGAACTGCTTGGAAATCACCATGGAGCTGAGCTGCTGCAAGTATCCCCCCGCTGCACAGTTACAAACAGAGTGGGACAACAACCGCGAGTCTCTGCTGGCTTACATGGAGAAGGTGCAAATATACTGACATCTAGTTCTTGTTAGAGTGGCTGACCGTAGATGCATAATGCAATATTGTCACCAATTGCAAAGTGTTAAAGTTATTAATATTGAGGTGTTTCCTCTTGTTTCAGATTCACATTGGCATGCGAGGTTTTGTGAAAGAAGCTGGGAGTGGGAAGCCCCTGTCTGACGCAAAGATCATGGTGGCAGGCATTAATCACAATGTGAGCACTGGACATTTTGGTGATTATTACAGACTCCTGCTCCCAGGCACCTACAACATCACAGCTGTAGCCTCTGGGTAAGTGGTTCCATGCCTTGACCTATCAAGATTCATCAACCTCCTAGTACAACATCTTAAAGCTTCAATATTAAGGGAATGATTCGGTGAAAAATCATGTTTACACAGATGTAGTTGATGATCTGAGGCATGTTTGGTCCAATTTTTGCCAATGATACATGCCTTGAACGTCTCTCAATCTGCTTGAACTACTTGTTGATGTAGTATAGGACACAGTATGACTTAGTGTGAAACATTAAAAATAAAAAAAAACTTGTGAAGCTAAATGCAGTGGCCAACTTTTCAGACAACAACTGTTGAATTTTGAGCCCCCCCTAGAATCTGACTTGCTTTCACATTCATGTGCATCACGTGGATATATGGACTCTAGATTATGTTATCAGTTTCAGTTGTATGTATTTATAAACATACATCTTGGAAAATTATACAACCCTGTTGCCAAAGAAGTTGGCACACTTTGCAAAATGTAAATAAAAATAGAATCCAATGATCTGCAAATCATTTAAACCCTGTATTTAATTTACAATTGCACAAAGACAACATATCAAATGTTGAAGCTGAGAAATCTTTATTGTTTTTTGAAAAATATGTGTGCATTTTGAATTTGATGCCAGCTACACATTTAAAAAAATTAAGACGGGCCAACAAAAGACTGATAAAGTTGTTTAATGCTAAAAAAACACCTGATGGAACATCTCACAACTCATTAGGTTAATTGGCAACACGTCAGTAACATGATTGGGTATAAAAAGAGCATCCCAGAGAGGCTGAGTCTTTCTTTCAGAAGTAAAGATGATGAGAGGTTCACGATTCTGTGAATGACTGCACAGGCAAATAGTGCAACAATTCAAGAATAATGTTTCTCAACGTAAAATAGCAAATAACTTGGGATTTCATCATCTACATTACATAATATCATTAAAAGATTCATAGAATCCGGAGAAATCTCTGTATGCAAGGTACAAGGCTGAAAACCAATATTGGCTAGCCTTGACCTTTGGGATCCCAGGCAGCACTGCATTAAAAACAGACATGATTCTGTAGTGGAAATCAATGCATAGGCTCAGGAAAACTTCTGAAAACCACTGTCTCTGAACACAGTTCGTCCCTACATCCAGAAATGCAGGTTAAAACTACCTTATAAAGAAGAAATCATATATAAACAGAATCCAGAAATGCTGCCGCCTTTCTCTGGGCCTGAGCTCATTTAAGATGGACTGAGAATTGGAAAAGTGTCCAGTGGTCCAACGGATCAAAAATTTAAATTCTTTTTGAAAAATATACACGCAGTGTCCCAAATGCTTACAGATTGTTGTTAAAAGAAGGGGTGATGCAAAACAGTGGTTAATATGACTCTGTCTCAGCTTTTTTGAAACATGTTGTTGGCATGGAATTCAAAATGAGCATATATTTTTCAAAAAACAATAACATTTCTCAGTTTCAACATTTGAAACATTTTGTTTGTGTACTGTTTTTAATTAAATATAGGATTTAAATGATTTGTACATCATTGCATTCTGTTTTTATTTACATACGCAGCTTCCCAGATTAGATTTACTGTTATTAATAATACAGCGCACACGAAGATTAGTCAAAATTAAGTACAACACCTGTCATCTAAAGTGGCTGCCAGCTGCATTTAGCGACACAGTATGAACTTCACTGTGTTTAAAGTTCACACTGTGTTCTGAACCACACTGACAAGTCTGCATGACCTTAATGAAGACCTGGAAGCAGTTTAAGCAGGTTGAGAGAAGCTTTGGGGATAAACTTACATAAAATATTTGTATGATTTTAGATTCGTATGTTTTTTGATTATTCCACTTTTAATGGAGTAAGTGGAAACTTGTGTAAAAATCATTTTTCTCCCAATTGTTTCTTCAAGATTGTGACAAGTGTAATCAGGCTTCGGTAACTGAGTTTCATGTTTAGAAAGCTTGTTTTCACTGTGACTGAGCTGCCCTCCGCCACTGTATGTATATAAGTATTATTAATTGATAGTGCTTAAGTTACTTTGAACTGTCAACAAAAGCAAACCTGCAGGGAACAAAGAAACTTAATGTTGAGTATGAATGTAAAGAGCTAATGTTAAGATTAATGCTTGCTTAACATATTTCTGAACAGTGATGGGGAAGTCAACAAAATATGTTTAATTGAGTAACTAAATTAAATAGGAAAGGAAAAAGTACTTAGCTGTGAATAAATTCCAGAGAAAGTAGCCACATCTTCATTCAGGGAGGAGCCTTTGTCTGGTGAGATTTTATAGTCACACCACTTCCTGTTTAGCTCTGTAAAAGCCCTAGAGGGAGCAGAGTGAGTTAGTCTGATGTTTGAGATGAAATGCGGTTGGAGCCCAAAAACCACTAAAATTTTGATTGAAGTAGTGGACTGTACTTATTACGTTTTATATAATTGTAGATATTGAGTTTGTTTTTTTGCACTGAAAAAAAAAAATGTTTGTTTTCTTCACTTGGAGTACTGAGATTCAATAAACACCTGCTTTTGCACCCTAACCTGAAATACATCCACGTGTCTTTTCCACCAGACCATCACATTCACGGTTGTGGTAGACTACTGTAATTGTGCATTTGACATGATTTTGCATGATTCATTACATACTATAGGTATGGATTTATATAAAAAAATCATATTTAAATTCAATTTACAGTCTGTACTGACAGGTTCATTTCTGTGCTTTCGATAATCTGTGCTAAAATAATGACAAAAACGTAAAAAATGTATAGGATAGTTTTCCTGCAAAACAAGACCTTTATGTCAATTACTTTTCAATTCAGATCATAGCCAAATATCTCCTATTAGAGTTACAAGTTAACTCTTTAACTAATTTTTGACAAAGTTTCTCCACTTTTTTACTTCGATGAGCTATAACTGAGAAATTACTCACATAAATTGCAACATGCTTTTGTTCCTCTGAGGGTTAAAATGAATTAAAATGAGTTTGCGAAAAAGTATTTGGGATACTTCCCTGAATGCAACCAGGTATCTGACTGAAACAGTGACTCAGTGTTTGCTGTCCTTGTGTGTTGTAGGTGCACGCCCATGACGGTGGTGAATGTGCAAGTATCTGAAGGCAAAGCTACAGAACTGAACTTCACTTTAACACTACTTGATGATGAGAGCATCAGCCACACAACTGCTCCCTCGCTAATGCCCTCCAGCACTGCCAGCCCGATAAGCAGCGATAGCAGCAACAATAGCGGTTCCAGTGCCAGCACGTCCAGTGACACTGCAGGGCCGGCAGATGAGGGCTCCAACACTAATGCAGGACCGCCAGAACCACAGCCCCTGCAGCCTCAGGAGTTCCACCACCACCACTACAGTGACATGGAGCTGTTCCTGCAGAGGTTCAGTGCCAAGTACCCCTCAATTACACACCTCTACTCAATTGGCAAGTCTGTGGAGGATCGCATGCTCTGGGTCATGGAAATCTCTGACAACCCTGGTGAACACGAGCAAGGTACTGCTTCTTGTTTGACTTGTTACTGTCAGAGTTGAAAATAAACATATGTAAAAAGGAACGCATTGAAGCATCGTGATGTATCAGTAAGAAGGTGGTAGTTTAATTGTATTGATTTTAGAATATGAGCAAATCAATTATAATCGATTCAGCTAGTGATGCACTGCAGCGAAAATCCTGGGTGATGCCGAAATTCAGGACACATCAGGTTGAAAACCAAAACTGGAAAAATCTGAATTTTGAATAAAAACAGCTAACATAATATAAATTTTGTAAAATTATTACAGTATCAGGCTGCGGTATGGGCCATGAAATCAAGCACCCATGAACAACAGAGAACGGCTGCATCCAAAGCAATGAATTATGTTTAGTTATATTTTGCATTCTGGATCTGTCGTTTGTGAATTTTTTAAAAAACTGAGGCGACAGATGGTGTCAGCATGCTAGCAGGGACTTTTTGCTTTTCTTGTTTTGTGTATTCTACATATCAAGCAGGATGTTGTTTGGAAGTTTGTTGGATGTGTTTTCAAGTGGAATCTAATCCCTCAGTAGAGAAGTTTTTGGGTATTCTGTCTGCTCGTGATACTCAATATGAACAGAGATTGTAAATCGCTTGTCGTATCCCTCATAGAAACCAAGAAATAGTTCCACACAGCCGACATGGTCACTGTTGATCTGCTGCTGCTCTTATTGTTTGAACGCATCTTTGCTGACCAGCACAGCAAAGGGAACAAACAGTGTTTTTTCATTTTTATTACAATTAAAAATATTAGTAAAATCTTTGATTTTGTCTCTTAATCTTAGGTCAATTTAATCTTTGTTTATTTCAGTTAAAAATATTCAGCCGTTTTTCTTTTTTGGCCAAAAACCGAAACTGGCATTTTTGACAATTTTTGGCCAAACAAATTTCGTTTTGGTGCATCTCTAGATTCTATATAATATATATTCTGTATGATAGGCAATAAAATATGTGCTGTTTTTAACTTCTGCTACTATGTAGGTATATTTTTAAAAATATTCTGAATAATACCACAATAATTGAATCTGTCAAATTGTAGTGAAATTTGAGATTTCATGGTGCATTGAATCTTTTATTCATTGTGGTCTTGAGGAAACCCCCAGGCTCCACATTTTTGCTCAATCCTAATACATAGGGATGAAACAAAAATGTCATGGGGTCCCTCAAGACCAGTTTGAGAAGCACTGTCTTAAAGAGTCATAAACAAATCATATTGCTGAGGGGACAGTGTAACAAGAGGAAGGCATTCTTCTTACAAACACCTGTCAACCTAGTTTGCATCTCAGCGTAATTGTAACATCTTGTCTTGAGTGTCAGAATAAGCACTGCATTGTGTATTGACATGAGATGATGAACCCTTTTAGGTGAACCGGAGTTTAAGTACATTGGTAACATGCATGGCAATGAAGTGGTGGGACGGGAGCTACTACTTAATCTGATTGAGTATCTCTGCCGTAACTATGGCACCGACCCTGAGGTCACACAGCTCGTCAACACCACCCGCATCCACATCATGCCCTCCATGAACCCAGATGGCTACGAGGTTGCCCAAGAGGGTAAGAATAAAATAAAACCCACATACACTTTAAAATGCAAAAAAATCCATAAAAATGTGAAAACCAGCTTTTCTGTCTCAGTTTCTTCTGTGTGTTCAATACAGTGATACAGCATACATGAAAATGCATGTTCTTTTCTTCAGGAGATATAAGCGGCTACCAGGGTCGTAACAACAGCAACAACTATGACCTGAACCGCAACTTTCCTGATCAGTTCAAAACCATCACTGATCCCAGGCAGCCAGAGACTATAGCTGTGATGAACTGGCTAAAAAGCTACCCATTTGTACTGTCTGCTAACCTGCATGGAGGTAATTCTTGACTTTAGATCTGGATGAGGGGTAGAATCACTGTGTAAACGTTTATATTACAGTGTGTTTATAACTGTCTTTTTAGGCTCTTTGGTGGTAAATTACCCTTTTGATGATGACCCAGAAGGCATCAGTAGATACAGCAAGTCTCCGGATGATGCTGTATTTCAAATGGTCGCCACTGCTTACTCTAAGGTGAGTGTGACCTTTTCTTATTACTGGTTCCCTATTTCCCAGTACATTGACTCATTAATCCCTTTGTCCATTATTCATTTGCCCCTAGTAAAACAGTCTGTTTAATGTGTTTCAGGAAAACACACTCATGCATAAAGGCCACCCATGTGATGACATTAAAAACTACCCCAATGAGTACTTTGAGAAAGGCATAACCAATGGAGCCCAGTGGTACAATGTACCTGGTAAGTGGTGGATTACGGAGGTTTTATTGCTTGTTCACCTCCCAGGAAATGGTGATGTAAGAATACCAGTCAGGCAGAAATGTATTGAAGATAATAAAGTTTAGTAAACGTTATGATGCTTTGCTCACCAGAGTTAATCCAGGAACACATGCCCTCCATCTATGTAGTAGAGTCATCTAAATGCAAGCATTATGATGATTCACAGGTCATTTAGTATGGAAAATGGGCACACAAAAACAACAAGCATGACAAGCATTAAATGTAAATTTTTTTCTGAGTAGTGCAAGTTTATGTGTGCCTCAGGGGGCAGCGGAACACTATTTCTGACACACTTTTTTTTAAGTCATAAACAGTCTGCCACATCAAAATGAAACAAATGTCAGAGTGGTGAAGTCCTGTTTATGTAACATTGTATGACTTGAGACCAGATTTTTTTGAGACCAAGTTTTCTGGGCACAAAAGCAAATTGTGCACTATATTTTTGTTCGCTGCTAAAAATATGTTTACACTTTACTGTTGCATTGCTGAATGAGTTTTCTGCATGTTTCCTCCAGGTGGTATGCAGGACTGGAACTATTTGAACACTAATTGCTTTGAGGTGACCATTGAGTTGGGCTGTGTGAAGTATCCTCTGGCAGAAGATTTGCCACAGTACTGGGAGCAAAACCGCAGATCATTACTACAGTTCATCCACCAGGTCTCTCTCTCTCTCTCTCTCTCTCTCTCTCTCTCTCTCTTTCTCTCTCTCTCTCTCACCCACCCACTCACTCACTCACTCTCACTCACTCTCACACACACACACACACACACACACACATACACACACACACACACACACTTTCATCATTCTTCCAACTTATGTTCTGGACTCTTACTTCTTGCATTTACATTCCTCATCCACAGGTCCACAGAGGAGTGAAGGGGTTGGTGACTGACCAGAAGGATGGGACTGGCATTCCTAATGCCACTATCACTGTAGAGGGGATTGACCATGCTGTCACCACAAACAAAGCTGGAGACTACTGGCGCCTGCTTGTCCCTGGAACTTACCACCTCACTGCCTCTGCACAAGGGTAAAACACGTTGTGTTTAAAAAAATATCAACAAATGTTTATGACGTAATAAGTATAGTCCACTACTTCAAAATGTTTAAAAAGATGGTTTCGCCAATCTAATTTACACAGTTTTCCCCATTATCTCCAGAAACCATCTATCAGCAAAGACTGTTTAGTGTCTAAAATTTTCATCTTACATTTTGCACTGGAGCTACGAGGCTAATGTAGCCAGCAAGTAGTTGAAGATGGTCACTACGGGGGGGTGTCATCAAATACACTGGAGACACACATTCACATTACACATTACACACATAGTAAGTCTTACTTTTCCACTCAAATGGCATCTATAAGAGACAAAAAACAATATGTCCTCATTAAACCATCGATCCAAAATGCTTAGCCAACATGCTACCCTCTTTAACATGCTCTGAATCACACCTGCCCTCTTTTCTACATTAGTACTAGAGTATGCCCTATATGTGCTTATGCATTTAAATAGGTAAGATTTAATAGACTCTGTTATTTCTCAAACATGGACTGAAACAACATCAAATCTTCACCGGTCTCTGTTTTCCATTTCCCCCAGATACACTTCTGTTGACATAAATGTGACTGTGCCTGAGGATGGCGTCGAAGTGGTGGACTTTAAACTGACCCGGATACACAGTGATGTGAAGAATCAGGTGGCTAAAGGCTCCAGTGCTCTACCAGACTCCATTGAAGAGGAGTTCCACAGTTTCATCAAGCAGCTCTCAGTAGGGGATGGTCTGGATCGGCTGATTCAGGACACTGCAACCACCAGCAGTTTCCGCTACCGTCGCTATAAAGAGTTGTCTGAATTTCTGCGTGGTCTCACCTTCAACTTTCCAAACATCACCGTACTCCACAGGTACTGTTCTCTATCATCTACTCAGCTCATATTAGCTGCCTGTAAAACACCTACAGTTCAGTAGGATGTATCTTTACCTGTAACTATAAGTTCTGTGTTTATTTCTCTTGGCCTGTGCTCTGTGAAAGGTCAGCAAACAACATTCTCCTTACCCCAAAGGTAGTCATTCAACCAAGACATGTTTGATGTTGGAAATTGCCTTTTTAGTTTAGCACTGGAGAGAAAGAACACAACATTTCAACATACTTTGAGTCAAGTGTGTGATGATTTAAACATGCAATTTTCACAAAACTATTAAAGTAATTAAATTTAATATTTCACCAAACTGTCTCGTTAAATGTTAATGGGAATGCAGACGGTCATACCATGTACTACCTTTCAAGCCCTGTAAAACACACATGAACGTCAGTGGATCCAGCCTGCGCTGACAAGCCAGTTCTGAAACCAGTCATCGTCTTTGTCTTGAAAGAACACCAGCTATGCCAGCTCATGCTTATCTAACAGAGGAAGCACAGTACTGCTGTAAGCATTGCGTAATGGAGCTAGCCTCACCCAAGCTAAGAGCCAAAATTACAGTGTACCCTACCTACAGATAAGGTCACAAAGTTTAAGGCCAAAAATAAGAAGGAAATGTACCCAGGGGCAAGTTTGGTCTTGCTCTTATTACAGTTTTGTAGATTAAGAAGAGTTATTTTGCAACTTAGTTGCAAAGAAGTGTTAAAGCAGGTGTTTGGGTGTGCTAAAAGTATGTGTTGTTTTTGGGCGACACTGGTTGTGCTGGTTCTGGTTGAACAAAACTATCTCTATAGAACATCAGCACAGAAAATCAGAGTGCATGGATGAACGTCAGAGAGCATGGATGCAGTAATGGTTTGCTGTATAGAATGTAGAAGCATTATTTCACATTGAATTATACAGCCAGAATATAGCCAAGTGACTGCTCTACGTGGGGCTTTCATATTGCACCCAAAAAGGCTGTGAAAGAAGCTGCATGCCGTGCAGTGGCATTTCTGCAGGGCAGAGGGTGCTCCAGGAACCGGACTGAGAGACACTTTACTAGTGGAATCAGGGATATACATTCTGGAGTTTTCTATCAGGATATGAGGTACTCCTTCATAGACGCTTCTTAGTGACCCTGTTTTGGTTCTATCTAGACTTGGTCAGAGTATAGAGTACAGAACCATCTGGGCCCTGGAGATCTCCAACAACCCAAATGTGCCAGAGCCATCCGAACCCAAGATCCGCTTCGTGGCTGGTATCCATGGCAACGCCCCAGTGGGCACAGAGCTGCTTCTGGAGTTTGCTGCCTATCTGTGCATCAACTACGGCAAGAACGCTGCTATTACCAGGGTAAGATTCTCTCAGCTTGGTTTGTTATTTTTTTAACAGTGATCACCACACCATCACTTTTTCTTCTTGCTTTCAAATGCTGTTGTATGCAAGTTTTGGCACTGTGGTTAAATGACTTTAATTGACCTTAAATGACATTTTTTTTATTGATTTTTAAATTTAAGTTTTTTTCCCTGTAGAGGATGTGCTTATGTTTACTTAGAAAATCAACAAAACGTAATTTGACAGGTTATTTAAACATTTGTGTACAACTGTTTGAAAAAAACATTGTACAGGGTTCTGTTTAAGGATGTGCATTCCAATTTAGATATTTGAGTACCTGGAGCAAACAGACAATCGCACAGCATTGGTGAAAAAATTAAACATCTTTCATCATTGAAAAATAGCTGAGGGAAATCGGTAGGTTTTCAGGTCAGATGAGTAACAGAGGCTGCTTCAGATAAGCAGTTTATTTTACCGCCGCAGACTCTTATAATAATGTTAATGCTGCTGCATTTGTGTTTGCAAATGAAGAATGTTCAGTCCTTTGCCTGCTTGTGCTCTGATGAGATCTCCAGAGTGACCCACACCTATAATACAGTAACCCTAACATTATTTATTAAGTTTTTTTTCCAGTTTTCTCCCCAATTTAATCGTATCCAGTTCTACCCACTAGCTAAGATTCCCCCAATCAATATAAACAATATAAACGAAAACGCAGATTTACTTCGCTCTGCTTTAAGCTTCGCCTACAGCCGCTTTCCTCCCATCTCCGCCAGAAAACTTTTCCTCAGAAGTAGATCAGTTAAATGTCTCTCAACTTTCGACTGTTTTACGAGGCTGAAGTCGCTTCTTATTCTCCAGCTTCTCGTTCGAATTTTCCCGTTCCACCTTAAATTCTAACTGAGGCGCCGAATGTAAATGCGACACCATTTAAGGTGGAACGGGAGAATTCGAAAGAGAAGCTGACTTCAGCTTCGCAACCGTTTAGTGTTTGACAGTCTCTCGTTGCAGATTTAACGTACCAGGAAACCAACTGCGCTGCTTATAAATGCGAATAACGCATCGCTGCTATGTGACCCGCAGTTCTCAGTCGTTGCGAAACTGGGCTTTCGCGCTATGTTTCACACGTCCCGTCTCAAAGATACTTTACTGACACAGCGATCCCCCCCGTCTCTACAACGAGACCAAAACCGAAGTTATAAAATCACTAAAGAAAACGGGTAGAATAGCTGTAACGTGCTGCGTGGACATCCATCACCACTGGATCTTATTTCACTGTAACTGCGCATTTTATCGCAGATGAGTAGCAGCAGCTTCTCGTGCTCCAAACAAGAGCACTAAATGAGAGCCTTCTAGTTCACTTGCCACATCACTTCCATTTGTTTTATTAAAAAAGATATTGGAAGTAAATTCATTATGGATGATTACAAATACTTTGCTTTAAAAGTACCAGGTGACTTTAAATAACAACACAGAATCAATTAACTTTCAAGTCACTTTAAAATGTATATTGTCTCTATATTCTGTGTATATTTTGTGTATATTTAATATATTTCAGTTGGTTTTTCTTGTATTTTTATTTTTACTTATTTACTTTCTGTAGAGTGATTAGCTGAGCCTCACCACAAGCATTTCAATGCATAAATGTCCTGACATGTTGTGCAAGTGACAAATAAACTTGAAACTTGAACTCGAAACTTGAGAAAATATAAATGCTATATAGAAAAAAAAGATGCATCGAGATGCATTGATAATTGTTTTATAATCGCGTCGCAGCCCTCTGAATCGTAATCGAATCGTGAGGTGACTAGAGATTCCCACCCCTAGTGTGTGTGTGTGTGTGTGTGTGTGTGTGTATGTGTGTATGTATATATATATATATATATATATATATACACACACACACACACACACACACACACACACACACACACACACGCACACTGTCCATTTCTACTTACCATATAGGTGCACTTTGTAGTTCTACATTTACAGACTGTAATTCATCTGTTGCTCTGCATACTTTGTTAGCCCCCTTTCATCCTGTTCTTCAGTGGTCAGAACCCCCACAGGACCACCAGGTATTACTTGGGTGGCGGTTCATTCTCATTATCATACTGCACTGACATGGACATGGTGGTGGAGGCGTGTTATTGTGTGTGGCACTGATATGAGTGGATCAGACACAGCAGTGCTGCTGGTGTTTTAATAAACTTCAGTGTCACTGATGACGGACCAAAAGGGTAGGTGTGTCTAATAGAGTGGACAGTGACACAGTGTTTAAAAACTCCAGCAGCACTGCTGTTTCTGATCCACAAGTACCATCACAACACACACTTATATGCCGCCACCACGTCAGTGTTACTGCAGTGCTGAGAATGATCCACCACCCAAATAATACCTGCTCTGTGGGGGTCCTGTGGGGGTCGTGACCACTGAAGAACAGGGTAAAAGGGGGTTAACAAAGTATGCAAAGAAACAGATGGACTACAGTCTGTAATTGTAACTACAAAGTGCACCTACTTGGTAAGTGGCGTGATAAAATGGACAATGTATATACAAGTGTAGATACAAACATGTGTACTTAAGGGAGTGGCTGGTTGGTTTTTTTGGATGTGTAAACAGAAATCTTAACTAACCTCCCCTTTTAAGCAAATAGCAAAATTACAAATTCACTATTGTGCAAAGTAAAAAGAAAAGAAATACTAACAGCTACTTATATGAGAGCTGAAAGCTCATATGTCCACTGAAAGGCTGAGAAACAGTTAACATTAACTCAACAGCTTTTTGTATAAAGGCAACAAAAAACAAATAATAAAATAATATTAATTTTATATAGCCACTCAAAAACGAATGAATTTTGTTTGTTTATTTCTTTATTTTTTTTTAGTTATCAAATATGTTTGTTATGATGGTAGCTATTACTGCCTCAGACACTTAAAACGCAATATTGGGTGTGAGAACAATGCTACGGTTTGGTCCAATATTTACAGGCTTGTAGTTCAGGATGGAGGAGTTTTTGAGCTGTACGCATGACTTGTGTGTGTGTATGTGAGTGTGTGTGTGTGTGTGTGTGTCTGTGTGTGTAATGTGGCTTGATTTTAGTCTAAATGTCTTGCGCATGCGTCGTGGCAAAATGTGTGAGTGTGAGTGTGTGAGTGAGTGTATGTTTGTGTGTGTGTGTGTGTATGTATGTGTGTGTGTGTGTGTGTGTGTGTGTATAATGTGGCTTGATTTTAGTCTAAATGTCTTGCGCATGCATCATGGCAAAGTGTGTGTGTGTGTGTGTGTGTGTGTGTGTGTGTGTGTGTGTGTGTGTGTAAGGAGTGAGAAGTGGTACACAACAGGAAGTTTAATGTCTGAGGGGGTTCAGGACTTAAAACTTTAGGAACCACTCAGCTAGAGAACCTTATTTAGCCATGCTGTCTCTGCCTTCTCAATCACATCCTTAACACTGTGTCCTCCCATTCAGGCACTTGTGGTTTGGAGTAGCAAAGTGAACTATAATATACATCCTTGCTCACCAATAGGAGTAAACATGCCACACTTTACAGTTCTGTCAAAGCATAAAATCGGTGTTTAACAGAATAGCCATTATATTTCCTCCGTTTTCCCATGATGAAACATAACGAATACCTGAATAGTGATTTCAGTATTAGAATGCTATCACCTTTCAATAGCAAACTTAAATAAATAGTAAAGCTTGAGTACTCATCCACATTCCTAGTTATGTTGTAAGATAATCCATTTTTTTTCCAGCTGTTTATGCAACTGTGCCTTTCCTCTCTTTAGCTGATCAATGAGACCAGAATCGTCATCCTTCCCTCCATTAACCCAGATGGTCGCGAGCAGGCCAAAGAAAAAGAGTGCAGCTCCAGCGTGGGTATGACCAATGCAAACGGCAAAGACCTCGACACTGATTTCTTTGGTAAGCATAAGTGAAAATTTCTGCTATTTCAACTGCAAATATGCATTTTAAATTGACAATTGTGAATGCTGTCAATAATTTACTTTTCCTACCTGCCCTACTTTTGATAGTGGAAAGTCTTTGTTGAAAATAAACATAGTGTTGCATTTACTTTTTTTGTAAAGGCATGACTCTTAAAAGTTAAAGGAAGATGTTCTTGTCCTTATGTCATGGGTCGTTAGGATTTCTGTGTGCTTGTCTTAAGCCAGCAGTCATACTTGTTGTACAGTCCAGTGTGCGCCACTTGCTGAACAGAACTAATTACCTTGTTTTTTTCTGAGACCTCCACCTGACTGTGGTGTGTCCATGTGGTGTCACAAGGTGCCTGTGTCTCTGCACTAAGCCTCTAGCGGTTCATTTTAAGTATATTTATGACAGTGTGCTCAGGAGAAGTTAATTTACATTTAGTTGTTCCGTTGTTTCAAATATACTTCTGGCTTTATTCTAACATTTACTGTCTTTGTATTTTAAGAGAGCCTCTGCATGATGTCTGCTAGTTGTGCAGATATAAATGCCATAAATACAGTTCTAATATAGATTTGTTGTTCTACAGGTAATGCTTCACAGCGCTCTGCAGAACCACAGCCTGAGACTCGTGCTGTAATGGATCTGATACAGGAAAAGGGCTACACTCTCTCAGTGGCACTGGACGGAGGCTCTGTGTTGGTTACATACCCATATGACAAACCAGTGCAGTCAGGTGTGTGTTTTATGTTTGCTAGGATCTAAGAATAGAATGATCTTTTAACGGTTGTTGCTTCTTTGGAAATGTGTTCATTTTTGCTCTTCCTTTTCAGTTGAAAATGAGAGTACCCTGAGGTATTTGGCTACTGTGTATGCCAACAACCATCCCACAATGCACTTGGGAGACGCTGGATGTCCAAACAGCAGTCAAAGTATGTAAACTGCTTCGTACTACTTGTAACCAAAATATGCTGCTTCCTATAGCACTATGTTATGCTTGCCATATTGGTTTAATTAGCTGCATAAGCATATCGAACAAAAAATAGTTCCATGCATCATTTCGGTACTACTGCTTCAATATGTGTCCCCTTAGTAACTGTGCCAATCCTGTCAGGTAAGGATTACACCTGTCTCGTGAGATGTTCCTGTCCACTCTAGCACACTCTTACACAAATTAGGGGCACATTTCACCCAGTGTTCATATGTGCCTGATTCAGCATTTCACCTGCTGTTCCAAATCGTAAATTGAGATTGAACTCTGATTTTGCTGGTCAGTCACACTGTCCCAATGTTCCATAATATTTGTTGAACCAGTCGCATACAGACACCCTACAGTTGTCATCCTGGAATGTGGGAATGTCAGTGTTGTGTTCTGCTTGGACATGAAGCACAAAGTTAGTGGATAAGTGGGCCAAAATGAATAGGAACTTCAGAGTCTGGTGTAATCCTTCCTGACAGGATTGACACTGTCAGTATGGCAACTGGAGGCTTAATTAGGTATTGGGAAAGAAACCATGCATGTGGCTAATTATTTTGTCCATGGAACTTGCCTGACACTCACCTCTATATTAATGATGAATAGCAGTCACAAAGTTTACAGTTTACATTAAAAGGAGCCGTATTTAAATTGATGCAAAATGTTTTCTTTTAATCTAGTACGCTGTTTCTCACTGACCCATTTTATTTCAGTGGGGAACATCCCTGAAGGAGTGCTGCGGGCAGCAGAAAGGCACAGTCACATGGGCAGTATGAAGGTAAATCTAACAGCTGGTGTCTCTAGCTAGTTTGTGGACAGCTTGCTTTCTACACTTAACGTCCAACCTTAATCTGACGTAAGTGACTCGGATAATTAAGATAATTTAAATCCTGGAGCAGGTGTTTTTGGTTGGAAAAAACCTTAACAGGAGGGAGGCTCTACAAGAACAGGGTTGGCTTCAGGTTGCCTTATTATTATCATTATTGTTATCATTATTATTATTATTATTATTATTATAATAAAAGAAGAAGAAGAGTTTGGTCTGGCACATATTACATAATAGGCCAATGTTCAGTTATTTGACGACAGTTATTTTCAGTTGTTAAATTTCACAATCAAATGTTTTCTTCTGTTGGGTTGAGGCAAATACATGTTAATAAAAGAAAGCAGAACACGTATATTGGGACGAAAAGTAGACAAAAGTTCTAACTTCTGATTGGTGCTCTAACATCTTTAGAGGGCCACAGTAAGTAATGTTTGTTTATTTGAGCTCTGAGCCCTCTTTGAGCTCAGGCAGTTGGGAGCTACTAAGTAGCAAGGGAACAGGACAGCTAATCAGGTAATTTGGTCACTTTTGGCTTGTATTATAGTTGCATACTTTTAACAAAATAAAGATGATTAAATGCAATTATGTGTCAGTTATAACATAGTGTATGCAATTATAACATTTCATAATGCAGACGAGCCTAGGAATAATGATAATAATAATAATAGCAGTAGTAATAATAATAATAATTTATTATTCATGTGACATCTGTTTAAAACAAGCGATTGACTGAGAATAAAAACAAACAATTCAGAGTACTGAATTAAAACAAAAGTAAAACTGATTAAAATGCAGTATTAAGTGTGACTCAATATAATTAAAACATGCTTATTTAAAACATCCATTTTATTGAACTAGAGAAGTGAAGTACTTCACAGTTCTAGAAACCTACATTTCAGTCTAGAACCTCTACAAGGCACTTGATTACTATTGTGATTATAATTATTTATGTTACAGGACTTCAGCGTGGACTTCGGTCACTGTCCTGAGATTACTGTGTATACCAGCTGTTGTCTGTTCCCCCAAGCTGACCAGTTGCCCATCCTCTGGGCTGAGAACAGGAAGTCTCTGCTCAGCATGCTGGTGGAGGTCAGTTAGCCCTCTCTTTTCTCCATCTACCATTCCTCTCTCCACCCCTTTATTCTTTAATAAAATGCTAGCTGAACTAGCCCTTTAAAATTTTTCCTATTCCTTTGCAGGTGCATAAAGGCGTACGTGGTATAGTGAAAGACAAGAGTGGGAAGCCCATAGTGGGGGCGATGATCGTGCTGAACGGCGGAGTGCGAGTGTTCACCAGTGAGGGCGGATACTTCCATGCCCTGCTGTCTCCAGGCTCACACAATATCGAAGCAGTAGCGGAAGGATACCAACAGCAGCGGCAGGAGGTGAGAGAATACATGTGAACACACAAGACAACATATTTGAAAGGCTTTTCCAAATAATAATAATAATAAATTACTTTTTTGTGTGCTATTTATTCTCTGCTTTTCCTTCTGATCCCTCCAGGTGATTGTATCGTCATATGAGGCAGCAAGCTCCATCATTATTGAGTTTGATATGGACAACCGCATTTTTGGCTTACCAAGGGAGTTGGTGGTGGCCACTGCAGGTGCCAACTCAGTTCTTAAATTTGACTTAAGGCTTTTGTCGAGCAATTTACATATCCTTTATACAAATTATGCAAATTAAAGCACAGTCTTCAAGGTGTGGTGAATATCTTTTGCTTCTCATTTTTTAGCAGAACTGTAGTCATTAATTTGAACAGGTAATTTGCTGATGTCTTTCATGTGGCTATTATGTCTCGCATAATAATGTAACAGTGATAATTTTGTAAATTTTTATATCTTAAAATTCTTTTTGGTTAAAGAACGTCTTACAAGCCTGACATAGCTCACTCTTTTTTATTGTTTCTCTGATAATTACACCAAAGTGAACCTTACACAGTGTTATTAATCAGACAGAAACCGCATTTCTGGAAAATAAACCTATTTAAATTTTTAAATATTTTAAACGATTCTTTTAAAACAATCTGAAGCACCCATTGCAGTTGATATTGTCAATACTGCTGAAACAACAGAAAAAAATCAGAATTTCAGTGTGACACCAATGCTGGTAGGGCCGAGCTCAAAATATCGATGTGGCTGATTTAGTATTTATGAATTTACTTCTACACGCCAATTTAATGCACAAGTGAAACAGATACTGCATTCAAGCCTGAGAGCCCATGTGGTGAACATGCTCTAATAGTCAGATTTATTTATTATTTTTATTTGTATAAAAAGCTCTGGTCCAGTCTGGTCTAGTTTCACTACCGTCCCTTCTGCGAGTGGCATGTTCAAGAGCTCAGAGTGAAGTTCAGTCATTAGTTTATCATCTGCGGGTGGTGTGTGTGTGTGTGTGTGTGTGTGTGTGTGTGTGTGTGTGAATTAAGTAGGTAACCTTTCTTAACTTTTTTAGCTTCGGTTTTAAAACTTAACCTAATAATTTTAGGTAAGTGCTGTTACAAAAAATGTCACTATCATCCTCCCCAACATTATTTGTTCATTATTACTGTAGTTTTTAGAACAAATTTTCGGTAAACATTGACTGAAAATGTCTGCTGCATATCTGGTGTGTTTTGTCATTGCATTGTGACATATCATACAGTTGCTGACAATACCCAGCCCTAAAGCCCTGCTTTGTGCTTTCTCCTTTAGCTGCAGCTATGACGGCCCTGACCATCACCGCTTGCATCATCTGGTGCGTGTGCTCAGCTAAGTCCAACAGACAGAAGGATGGTTTCCACCGCCTGCGTCAGCACCGGGACGATTATGATGATGAAATCCGCCTCACCTCCATGGGCTCCAAGAAGTCTCTTCTGAGCCACGAGTTTCAGGACGAGAGTGAAAGCGACGAGGACACTCTGTACGCCAACAAACTCTGATACCTTTGCGCCTCCCTAATATAGTCAATTTATCTGCACACGCCCTACAGGAGTGAGACACAGGACTCAGATGTTCTGTCCTTTCCCCTGCAGTCCAGAGCTCACTAGCCACTCCCTCCCAGGGGCCAGTAGGGGGCACTCAACTCAAAGGCCCATCCAAACGGACTGCCCTGAAATCCTTCACAGGATGCACTTTAGTGGCCTACTGAAATTTGGTCAACCTTAACACACCTTAATGTATGCAACTAACCACTGTACAATCTGCTCTCAACCAACTTACTATTTATTTGAATTTAGATAAAGCTACTTTTCCGCTTGTTAGTGTGGAGATTTCTCAGCAGCTCTTCCAATAGGTGTCCAGTCAGTATAGCACTAACTGAATTGCCCAAGTAAACAGAAACTCAACAGGATTGCTGAACACAGTGCCTTGTTTGATTAGTTTGAGCCATTTATGCCTGTTGGCTGTCATTGATGTGTGAAGACGGGTGAAAGTCAAGTTCTTCTCTCTGCCATACTTTGATTTGGGTCGTAATCAGGAATCCAGTGATTTTTTTTCTAAATGCTGTTTCTCGCAGTAGCTGATGGAGTTACTGGGAACAGACCAGGAGTTGTGTACTTAAATCATCTTGGCGCAAAAGTGCTGCTTATGCATCGTGTCATCCTTTTTTTATTTCATTACTGGGACTGAGATCAGTCATGTGGAAACGTGAGCCTAGTTCAGAATCTGCGATAATTTATAAATCTAGGTCGTGAACAGCATTTCTGTGGTCAGTTCTTAATCATACACACTCTGAGGTGGTCAGTTTGTTGCCTAGCTTTCAGAATCTTCAGAAAGCCAATTTGTTGAGCACACAGATTTGTACTGTAGCATAGCATTGAGTCACATCAGCTTGAATGGAATTTGGCTTGCCAAGAATGTAAAGTTTTGTTTTGTTTGTTTTTCTTCTTTAAATTTTTATGTATTTTAATTGCACTCATCTACCGTTTGTTTGTGCATATCTAATATACTAAACCTGAGAACTTAAATGTTGGATCTGTATTCGCTGCTACAGATTATAATAATGGCCATGCACTCTTTTGAAATGTTTGAAGTGTATCTGTTTTTTTGATTTTTGTTTTTTTTTCTCCTCAGAGGATCTTCAAGCCACAGTTGTTCACAGTAGGTCATTGATAATGTGTTCAAACACATACATAGAATCAAGACATTTAGATAATAAACGGGGACTTTTTAAATTGATTAAAAGGGTAGCAGAAATGCCTGCAAAAGCAATAACATCTTTGATTTGTTCATTCTGAACAGATTTCAGATTTTTTATTCAGGAATATTTCAGTTTTTTCACATCTGCCTTTTTATTGATTTATATGTAAACTAAAGATTGAATCAATACATATTAATTAAACTAAAAATACCCTGGTCCACAATCTGACCAAAAGTATGGTCAGTGCAAGTGACCATAACATTAATTTTTTTTCCCATTTTAATTGAACTGATTTAATTTTTCCATCTGATAGAGACTTTTATACAACATTTAGTGCCTTTGTCTTCTAAAATGATAAAATGCCATACAATTCACACACTTTTAATGATTTCTATAAATTGGATCCCTGCGTTGCATTGGCTTATTAATACATACACTGACAGTGTATGTACTGTTAACTAATCAGGGTAACTTTCTCCCTTGAACAGCTTCAGCCCTTGAAATTCACATATTGAGGTGTTAATTTGTTTTTATTTTTATTTTAATTTTTTAGCAGAAATATACTTGTAATTGACACTAGCATTTATAAGGACATGGATTCCATTTTAACTGAAATTCAGACTGTTAAACTTTTTTTCCGTTTTGTCATTTGCTATTTATTTGGTTTATGACCTATACATAGGATTCACATGGCCCGCAAGCCCATTAATATTGAATAAATAATAGGAACACTGGCTCAGTGAGTTATTAATCTGTAATGTGTGAAACCAGCAGAGCTGCTTGCGTGTGCTGATGAATTCAGGCAGGTGCTCGGTCTTGCAATTTAATGTATTTTATACACATTGTGTCTCAGTATCTTTATCACCCTTCTTTTGTCTGCATGCCAGTTAAACAAGGATCTTTTTTTATTAGAAGGAAAGAAGGATACAGTAGTATCATGGCGAATGTGGCACTGACGTACATCAAGTGTTCATTCGATAGCCTTTTAAAGCCTCTGTCTGGATGGTGTGGCCTCAAGCTTTCAGCGTGTTGGTAACCTTCCTCTTTCATCACCACATTGATTACTTTCCGCTTTTCTTTGTGTAGTGCACCAAAAGTAAAACATTGTTAATGTGTATGATAGGAAAGGTTGTGATATGACTTCTTCATTCACTGTTTTCATTGCCACATAAATCTGACATGATAGCTTGATGCTGAAAATCATGCTCGAGTGCAAATGAGTGGGTGTCTGAACAAACGTGTGTAGCTTTTGTATGTACTGGTTGTGCTGATGTATATTTTTTTGTCCTTTTTATACAAAAGGGGTTGATTGTAGATAATTAAGTGATGCCAACTGTACGTAAATGACATAAGTGCAATTTTGGTCAATGGTGGAAAACAAACAAGTGCAAATAAACCTCTCTTTATATCTGGTGTTGAAATACAACTGGGACTGGCTGATTCAGTATAACTGAGACTAAATAAAAGTCTGAGGGGAAAAGTCATGTGGTGACTTTTTTGTCTGATTTTAAGTTGCTCAGTATCTGTATCTCAGTAACCTGATTGTTTTCATGTTCTATACTGCAAAGAAATCTTATGTATATATCTAGTATTTCTCATTTTTAGATTGTTGTAAAAATATTGTACAACCTATTTCTCAATGTTTTTGCTTGTTTTAAGTAATTTTATCAAGTGAGATGATTGTATTCCACTGGCAGATCATTTTCCTTGTTTTGAGCATTTTCTTGAGAAAAGCAATTTTTTCTACCAGTGCAGTAGGACAGTTTCAGTAGATTAAATGACAAAAGAAAAATATTCAGAAAAATTAGAAGGTTCAATGATCTTTTATATCATAAAAATATCATAATGACATACTAAATTGGCTTGATTTAAGATGATTTCACTTATATCAGCACATAGGAAAATGGCTGGAGTCTGGATTTTCATTGGAAAAAGTACAGTGGCATAACTAGGATATTAATGAACAAAATTAAATGGGCCCCCAAAAATGAAAAGAAAAAAACCCATAACATAATTTGCTTGTTCAGTTGCTACTGTTATATCTCAGCCAAGCTGATGCTCTCACAGCATGCCTCTTCACCATTAGCATCTACAGTTCTTGCCACTACAGCACCCTTTTCTTTTTTTATATAAAATTCACAATATCTTCATAAATAAATTGAAATATACTCTTTCTCTCAAAAAATAACTTTTCATCATTAGAATATTTTAATGGATGTCTAAAGTTATTAAACAAAGGAACATGTCTTTTCAGCTTGTAAGAAACTATTTTAAAGAAAATAAACAAAATATGGTATGGACAGTATTAATGGCACCCTTTCCTAATATTTTGTTGTACATCTTGAGCAGCAATGCCAGCCTCCGAACATTTTTGGTAACCATGTAAAAGCTTCTTGCACCAATCTGCTGTAGTTTTTCCTGCTTCACTGTTACAAACTTTTCTCTTGGGTGTTTGCAGGGTGTCTCTTCCTTATGGCAGATTTCAGCTGTCTCCAAAGATATTCAGTGGGGTTGAGATCAGGACTCATTGCTGGCCAGTTTAAAACAGTCCACTTCTTTCTTTGCAACCATTCTGTTGTGCTTATTGATGTGTGCTTTGGGTCAAACCTAGCTTCCTTACACTAGGTGGCACATTTCTCTCTAAAATGACTTGGTAATCTTCTGATTTCATTATTCCTTTAGTTCAGTTGAGGCCTCCAGTACCTGAGGTAGCAAAGCAGCCCAACAACATTATGGATCCACCACCATGTTTAACTGTAGGTAGGGTGTTCTTTTGCTTACAAGCTTCATGTCATCTCCTATAAACAAATGGCTAATCTGCATTGCCAAAGAGCTCTAGTTTTGCTTTGTCTGTTCACAAAATATCTGCCCAAAAACATTGTAGTTTGTGTAGGTATGTTTTGGCAAAGATCAGTCGTGCCGTCTTATGTCTTTCTTTCATCAATGGGGTCTTTCTTGGCTTTCACTCATGAAGTGCTTCTTGGTTTGGTGTGTGGCATATGGTACAGGTTGAAACCATTACCCCAGATCCAGGTCTGTCTTTAGATCTTTGGATGTTACATGTGTTTTTTCACAGTTTGCACCAACCTTCAAAGGTTTTCTTCATTAATTCTCCTCTTTGACCCACATCCTAGGAGGTTCTTGACAGTTCCATGAGCAATAAACCTCCTAATTACTTTACGCACTGTAGAGACAGGGATGTCAAGGACTTTGGAGATGGCCTTTCATGTGTTTGGACATACTAGCACTTTTGATGCTCTCAAACAGCTCTCTAGTCCTCACCTATCTATATCTTGAAGAAATATATTTTTGTATTATTTTGAATGGAATCACTTTGATCTTGAGGGTTGTAAACTTATAAACAATAAACATATCACATTACTGGTTGTGAAAGATGGTAAAACTGTTATCATGGATCAAATTGATTATTACTAAGAAGGAGATAAATAGGTGTCAGTACTGTCTGTGTAGTGCTGATGGATGCAAACTGCTTGTGGACACTTGGGTGGTTTTATGTACCTAAATAGAAGTAATTAATTTTACATGACTACTTTTGAACCCTTATATATCCCATAATTAAACAGGCTGTTTTTGTTACCATACCTTTAAAAGCAGTGCTGCTGGAGTTTTTAAACACCTCAGTGTCACTGCCGGACTGAGAATAGTCCTACAACCAAAGACATCCTGCCAACAGCGCCAATGGGCAGCATCCTGTGACCGCTGATGAAGGATTAGAGGATGACCAATGCAAACAGCAGCAGATGAGCTACTGGCTCTGATTTTACATCTACAAGCTGGACCAACTAGAGTGCTGAGAAAGATCCACCACCCACAAAATACCTGCTCTGTGGTGGTCCTGTGGGGGTCCTAGCATTGAGGAACAGGATGAAGGGGGGCTAACAAAGTATACAAAATACGACAAAGTACTACAAAGCGCGCCTGTATGGTAAGTGGAGCTGATAAGATGGTTGTACAAACAAAGAGGTGGTTTTAATGTTGTGGCTGATCATGTATGTAAATGTGTTGGGTTATGTGACATCACAAAACCACTGCATTTAAAGTGGACTGTTTTTGCATCTTCCATGTATAGACTGTATGAACTGGGAAGTGGACGGTACATTTTGAAACTTTAACAATGTTTACATTCTACATGAAAATCTTTTATTTCAAGGATGTGAAGGAAATTTCCATGAAATGGGCCTTTGAGAAACTGGATCTATCTGTGAGTCATGGGTGTGCAGCTGTGTCTGTTTTTTTTATCTGAAGGGCCCAGTCAGGCCATTTGAATACGAATAAGATGCAACTTCCAGACAACTGACTTAACAGTTGTTTTTTTTTAACAGAAAAACAGGTCATTCTTGATTTTCTTCTCAGAGTATCCTCAGCCACACGGAGAGAGGCGCTGTAGTGGAGTTTTTGTAGGCTGAGCTGCAGCAGAGCCTTTCCTCTGCCAGCACGACGCGGATGACGTTGAACAACAAAGATGGCAGGGGGAAACAGCAACTATTGGGAAGGTGAGGTGGCAAAGTGGTGTTATTTGGAGTCGACCAAGGCATTTTAATCACTTTGAGTCCACTTATTCCAACTTTTTATTCTTTATGTGGCTGTCTGCGAAGGCTTAGTAACGGTTTGTTCGGCCGGTTCACGTCAAAACACCTCCATCCACTTCACTACGTTAGCGTTAACGAACGCTAGCTTGGCTAGCTAACTAGCTGCGGCGGCTAACGTAACGTCAGTGATTTAGCCGAGCACGAATTAGTCGGAAGTCGGAAAGAAAATGTTATTGTCCCCAATGTTGCACTCGTTCCTGAAATAACTTATCTGTAAAGTGTTATTGAAAATATCTGACTGATGTAAACGTGTATGATGTAGTATTTCTTGTCAGCGGTGTCGACTGACATCTTTTAGGAAGCAAATTTTTAGCCAGCTAACCTAGCTGTGGGATAACTGGGTTAGCTAAATAGCTTAACTAGCTAATTTTCATTACAGAATACTTATGTATTTTGTGTTTTATGTACTAACGACTCTTTCGTGGCACTTTAAATGATATTCTGAATCTCAGAGTAGGCATGTTGCTGTCTTCAGTGTTATTATAAAAAAAAGTGTGTGCACAGTGAACAAAATATGATGGTAACTTAACTAGCACAGCATCACACACCTGTAGCCAGCTTAGTATTAAACGTAGGTTATGTGTTATGACTTGTTATTTAAACTTCTAGCACACAACAGCTGGCAATTCTTATTTTCGTGCCTGCAATATACATTTCTGTTGAGTAAGATATACACTTAACAGAAATATAAAGTTACTGTTCGTGTAACTGCAGTCGTTGGTCTGTCTAATTGTAGGTTAGGTTAATTGTCCTCACGATACATCTTTACAGATTTGCGCAAGCAGGCACGACAGTTGGAGAATGAGCTCGACCTGAAGCTGGTGTCCTTCAGTAAACTCTGCACCAGCTACAGCGGCTCCCGGGATGGCCGGAGAGGAGACAGGTACATGAACATGTCAATGAATCAAGTTGCAGTGGTACATACTTGGCTCTGTTTTATATGTGAATAACTTCTCAGCCTGTTCCTATGTCAGTATTGTTTTTTGCCTTATTTTCAAACAGCTCGGACACAACGCCCCTCCTCAACAACTCCACTCAAGACAGAATGTTTGAGACCATGTCAGTCGAGATCGAGCAGCTTCTTGCAAAAGTTAGTCATCTGTCAGTTGATTTGTTGATGTTTTGGGTAGAGTATATCACCCATGTTCTTGTGCTACAACAAGAAAATTGTCATTAGACTGCATGTTATGTTTTTAAGTAGTATTAACTGAGATCACATTCGGCTTAATTAACTGAGTCTTTTGTGCCATGTTGGATTCAGCTTTTTGTGGCCAGTCTTATGTTTAAGTGTAATTTGATTATTCTGCTGTTTATTGTAGCTTACAGGGATAAACGATAAGATGGCAGAGTACACTAGCACACCAGGCGTGACATCTCTCAACGCTGCATTGATGCACACACTCCAAAGGCATAGAGACATCCTACAGGTGAGAGACATTCTGCTCTCGTCCCCTGCTTGATACGTCCTCTCTTCTGCAAAAATCATGGGCAGCTCTGAATCTCTGCCTGATTGATTGCCCTGTGGCTTTTGCAGATGTTTGTATTTTCGGTACAGTGTAAAAGTCTGAAACCACTACCCAAAATGATCATTACAAGTTATAAATGATAAGTACAAGTTATTAGTTTTTCAGGAGATATTTCTGATGAGATTAGATACAAGATAATCCCCTTGCATAAGGAAGGGGAAAGTAAAAGAAAACTGTGAAAAAATAGTTAAAATTATTAGAAGAGGTAGAGAAAGTGGGACTTGTAACAACATTTTTTTAAGTAATAGAAATGGGTTGACCATTTGTGAGACGCAGAAAATGTAGCCAACTTCTGAAACTGAACTTGGGGGTGTGTTTACAAGGAGAAAAATGGAAATGTATCCCTGCAAATTTCTTTGAAAAACTGAAAGCATGTCTCCCTAAAACAATGAAGCTGATAAGGCAAAGGATGGACATCCCTAAATACTGAAAAAAATGACATTATATTTAGTTGTTGAGACTTCTGTGGAAGAATGGAAGCGTCATATGCTAGTAGTTTTGATATTCTACTTGGCATTGGAGGCTTCAGAGTAATTTTCTGTTAAATATGTTTTCTGTTTCTGTTAAAAATCATTAACTTGTACATAATGGCTGTTTTGACTCAGAATTAGATAAATTATGGGTGATCTGCACTGTACTATATGTATAATTGTAAAAGAATGTATATGATGTAGATTCCTGCCTATACTGTGCTATCAGTGTGTCGTCTTAGTACAATATCTCATTTGTAACTATTCATCTGTTTCTCTGTTTTTGCCCCAGGACTACACACATGAGTTTCACAAAACCAAATCCAACTTCCTGGCTGTGAGAGAGAGAGAAGATCTACTTGGGTCTGTCAGGAAAGACATTGAGTGAGTTGTTTTCCCCTAAAGCTATCAGATCCTGTTAGTGGTTGTCCACCTAATCTCTCGTTAATATATAAATATGAATTCCTTGTAATGCAGTCTGAACATGAAGCTAATCATATTTTTATGTAGTTTTAATTAAATTTACTCATAAATGCTCCTCCATGCTGCCTTCACTGAAAGAATTTCTGCAGGGTTCGGAAACCTTAATCAGTATTTTATGTATGTCTGTTACTAGCACATTGTGTCTATTGGTAACCAATTGAACTCCTTTTATTAAGGTATTATACATGAGCTAATTTCCTGGACTAGTCTAGGTTTGGAGTAGATTGCAGTGTTAATGATGTTTATAAAAAATCCCATTTAGTCCAGGTTTAGGCTTAATCTCTGGGAAACTGTTCCATAATGTTAAAATGCATCATGGAACATTATTTTCCTGGCTTATTGTTTTTCTATAATTGTCCCAAGTTCCCAGTTTACAGTGTCCTTCTTGAATTCAGGCCAGCAGTCTGACAAAACTGTATGTTTGCCTTTATTTACGTAAGTGAGGGCTCCTCCTTTTCTGCTTTTCCTGTTTAGGGCACAAAGGCCTTAATATTCCCATTTACTGAGCATAGAATTTTTCAGGAAGCAGGAGCATTTCTTTACTTTTACATAAGAAGTGCTGCTTTAAAGTTACATTGCTGTGGCTACAAGCCCTTTTGACAGTCTGAGATGTATGACATAAGTTTTCTCTTAATTTAGGATGCTTTGACGTTCACTTTTTAAAAGTTTGATTTGATGTCCAATTCCAAAAAAGTGGAGCGCTGTGTAAAATGTAAATAAATCTAAATAAAAACAGAATGCAATGATTTAGCAAATCTCATAGACCCATATTTTATTCACAGTGGAACATAGAACACATATCAGATGTTGAAAGTGAGACATTTTACCATTTCATGAAAAATATTAACTCGTTTAGAACTTGATGGCAGGAACACCTCTCAAATAATTTGGGACAGGGCCATGTCTACCATTGTGTAGCATCCCCTCTTCTTTTAACAACAGTCTGTAAACGTCTGGGCAAGTGAGGAGACAATTGCTGGAGTTTTGGGAGAGGAATGTTCTCCCATTCTTGTCTGATGTAGGATTCTAGCTGCTCGACAGTCCTGGGTCTTATTTGATGGATTTTTTGTTTCATGATGCGCCAAAAGCTTTCTATGGGTGAAACGTTCAGCCCCGGACTCTTTTTCTGCGAAGCCATGTTGTTGTGATGGATGCAGTATGTGGTTTAGCGTTGTCTTGCTGAAATATGCAAGATCTACCCTGAAAGAGACGTTGTCTGGATGGGAGCATATGTTGTTCTAAAACCTCTGCATACTGTTCAGCATTGATAGTGCTTTTCCAGATTTGTAAGCTGCCCACATCATAGGCATAATGCAGAATGCAACCCCATACCATCAGAGATGCAGGCTTTTGAACTGTGCACTGATAACAAGCTGGATGGTTCCTCTCCTCTTGAGTCCGCAGGACACGGTGTCTGTGGTTTCCAAAAAGAATTTCAAATTTTAATTTATCTGACCACAGACCAGTTTTCCATTTTGCCTCCTGAGCCCATGCGGTGATTTCCAGTACAGTATCATGCCTGTTTTTAATGCAGTGCTGTCTGAGGGCCGAAGACCATGGTCATCCATGCGTCATCCCTTCTCCGTTTCTTCAGATTTTCTGTATCTTTTGATGATGATGTGTACTGTAGATGGTGGGATATCCAAAGTCTTTGCAGTTTTACATTGAGGAACATGTTTCTGAAATTGTTCCACAATTTTTAGACACAGTTTTTAACAGATTGGTGAACCTCTGCCCATCTTTGCTTCTGAGAGACCCTGCCTCTCTAAAATGCTTTTTTTATACCCAGTCGTGTGTTAGTTGCAAGTTGCTCCTCCAGCTGTTTTTTTATTAGTACCACTTACTTTTCCAGCCTTTTGTTGCCCTTGTTGTAGGCTTTTTCTGTACACTGTTTCCAAAATCACACCATATATGTCTGGCTTTAGAGGACATTCAGTGTCAGTTTAATCAGCCAAACAAAAAGCTTCAGATGTAAAACCCCACCGTTGAGCTCTTCAGATGCGTTAGCCTCGGATGTGATTCCTGCTGTCACCGTGCTGCAGAGACTATGAATCCTACTATAGTTACAACTGTACAGAAGTGCTTTTCTGATGTGCAACAAAACTCTCTTCTTTACTTCTTGAGCCAGTGACTAATGTAACATAGCTAGCTAATGCACATCATTTAAAATCAGCTAGATCTTAATGATGTAACTGTTAAGGTTGCGCTCATTTACGCTAACAGCTACTTAATTCTAAGTAGGTTACTCAGTATGGTATCAGACTCGGTCTTGGCAAGTACTAAAAACAATGTACTCATGTTCAATTAAAATAATGGTATCAATGCATCCTTAGAAACAAGAACTTATTAGCCTATAGGGTCAGCTCAGAGGGTCATTTAGTTGCCGCAGTTTAAGTGGACTAAAGTTGCGTTTGGGTGCATGTCGGAAAGTTATACCAGATGGTAAACTACAAAATACGACTTTACTCCATTCTGGTGATTGTTGGAAGTTACACCCACCACATGGAAAAAGAAAAAATGGAGATAAAGAGGTTGCTTTTGATTTGCTGTTTTGAAAAGAACATAAATAATCTGGATGCCTATCAGGCATATCTTTTTTTTTTGTGTTCACTGCTATGTTTACCGTTTTTCACTGGCAGAAAAGTGAAAGGTCACATTGTGTATCACGTGATACTCGGGTATCATCTCCAGTCCCAAGTTTCCAACTTGTAAAGACTTTGTCAGCTGTTTGAGTGCAATTTACAAGTGGGACAGTTTGATACCACCAGTTGAACACCTGTCAAATGCAGCAAAGGTTCTTCTGTCATCAGGAGAGGCTACCAGCTCCCAGTGGAAGAATACGGTTTATGTTAAAAAGCTTTAAGAAGCTCATTGCTCATAGTAGTGCATCTGTGTTAATGGAATATCTGTCGTATCTGTAGCATGTGGTTGATTAATATGGACAGTAACTTTCTGATCAGCTGAAAAGAACAGAAAACGCCCATGTTAAAATAAACTAATGACCAAGTGATCAAATTATTCAGCCTAAATAATGAGAAAAGTTTCATGTTGTTACCTATATTGACCACCAGGTGTCAGCACAGTCGCTTCCGTAAATGCTTATAGCTGTGGGTCAGACAGTGTAGCTGTGATTACCCGTTTCTCTCACTCGGCCATTTTCCTTGTATGTGACTGCAAATTATCTGATTTCAGCATGAACACAGCAGTGATTATATGGAAGTTTCACCTGCCTCTTTGCCTGTGCTCCTCATTTTACCTGGCTGCCCCTGTTGATTGCCATGTAGCACCAAAGCCCCCTGGAAATGCCAGTAGGCAGAAATGCCAGAGTATGTGTGTGTGGTGTAGGGCCCTTGTTGGAATGATTGAGTTGACTCACAGTTTTCTGCTGCTTTGGTTGTCATAGACTGACAGGCTGTGTGTGGATGCATTCCCATACCGACCAGTGTTGCAACTGTTCACCAACATCAGTCTTACTGTAGCATACTCACACAAAGACAGAGCAGGGTTGGGGATGCTTTATGACTGTTTAGTCATTCAGTCAGCCTTACTTCGCTGACTCTGCCCGTCACGTGCCTCTTTCCCTCGGAATGGAGGGTGATCTTTATTTCTGTTGGCACTAAAGCCTAGAATGTAGGCTCTGGCTCACTGTAACAAAGATCTAGAACACTATAAGAGGATATGGGTAGATTTTTTGCCCCTCTGCCCTGATTAACTTCTTGAGAAGGGCTGCTCTTCCAAGTACTTCACTCATTCATTATTCACACTAAATGCTTTCTGTGGTAGAGCTGGCCATGTGCGCTGTGCAGAAAGTGGAAGCTCCATTGCTACCCCCGCTCCTCTTTACCAGCTCAGGCTCTGATGTATAGGTTTTGGTATACTCTATAAGAAAATCTTAAGTGCCTTTACTTGTGAACTTACGAGTAATGTTTCCAAGTGGCACTTCTTTTTCAGTATTGTGTACCCATTAAAGGATCTAAATAAGTAGAAGTGGTCAGAATTACTGATTTCTGCTCATTTGTTTTTCTAGACCTTTTATTAGATAAGTAAATATTCAGTGGTGTTATTGGTTGTAATTTAAAGACTTATTTATGCCACTTTGAAACGTTTTTCCTATGTTTTTTCCTATTTTCCTATGATTGATGCATTAGGAGTAACTTTAATTGATTCAGTGGGTGAAAGATTATCCCTTACTTGTGAAGGCTAAAAGATTAATGTGCTCCTTGGGACATTTACATAGAAAATGTGTGTGTAAGCATTTGTACGTATTTATTGAATGATGAGCTTATGTTTTTTTCTTTTTCAGGACATACAAGAGTGGCTCGGGTGTGAACAACAGACGAACAGAGCTTTTCCTTAAGGAACATGAGCACCTAAGAAAGTAAGCCCTTTCTTATATTTCTTTTTATAAAATTCTGGGATTGTGCACTGAGATGTTCTACCCAGGCATGTATCGTTCAGGGGATTGCAGTTGACTGCAAAGAAGTATTGCCTTGCATATAAACTTGCTTAACTAACCTTACGAATTAAAGTAAGGACTGAGTTTATTCTTACAGTGTTTTCTATAAAGAATAAAAAGATTAAAAAAAAAAACTTTTTGTCTGAAAAAGATGAAAAAATGATCACTTTTAGCATCTTCTGTAGTAGTTCAGATGATATTTATATTTGGGTGCTTATTATAAACCAAGACAACCCCTAAAATGTGTTCTCTAGCCAGTGTTCATTATGTGATTCCTAATAAAAAAGACAGTTTGAAGGAGTCACACTTACACAGTTATAAAATGTTTCAAAAAGAGAAGATTTATTGAGTGAAATCCCTCCCCTTGAGTCTTTACTTTCAACCTTTGATTGTTGGTCATTTTAGTGATTTTGGGATATAATACACTACACTTGCAATGTGCCATCAGTCTCAACTAGCTGATCAAGACTACTGTTCTGTATCCACTTGACTTGAAAGAGTAACTTTTTGGTCAGCCAAATGGCCCCAGGGGCCACACTTTGGGCAGTCCTGGCTTCAATGGTTGCACCACTCAGGGGCCCGATAGTCATCATTGGACTTAAACTACTGAGCTGAGAGTTTGGAACCTGACTGTGAAATTCACAAAGGTAATTTATTATAAAAAGCTATAAACTGAAATTATAGTTGATGGTGATTTTGGCAGTGTTTGTGCACTAGTCCATTTGTTTCAGAGCAGGGCTGCAGTTAATCAGTTTGCTAGGGTAAAGTAAGTGGGCTGCAGCATGGTGTCAGCATATTGCTGTGCTTACTCAAATATATTCTAAGAATCCAGGATAATTCATTACTGCCTTAGATAAAAGCTAATTGAATTTGAGCACTGCATTGTAGTTACAATGGCATTTGATGTGTGTTGTTTTTTTTGTTTTTTTTTGTTTAGCAGTTTTTGGGACAGATGAGTGAAGTTAAGCTTCAACTTTCTCTTCATGTTATTGCTGGAATCCATTTCCACAAACAAAGAAATGTTATGTGAATTTTCTGAAGCCTTGCTTCTTAGTTACAATCAAAGGAAGCAGTAGAGAGTGATGGAGGAGGTCTTATTTCCATTAATTAAAGGCAGGTTCCTCAGGGCTTGCACACCACTTGGAGCCAGTTTGCACAATAGGGGAAACTGTGGCCTGGCTGGAAGGACCATTTCAGTGGGCGCCTCTCTGCCTGCAGTGTAGAGAGGGAGTTCTGGCTACTTGCCTGCTTTGTTTCTCAGCAGAAAGCGGCAGTGTACCCTCCCTCCCCTTATGCAGGCATCTTACAAACCAGCATTGCTGTAGGGAGAAAGCAGGACATGGCACAGCACTCCTCTAGTACCACTGGGCGATATACCACCCATACTGTTATGATGATACTGATACACCATGACGCTGATTATCAGTTTAATCTATATATATATAGTGCAGTGGATGCCATTTATCAGGATGTGGAATACTCAGGTACTTGGTTAACAGTTTAAGGTGCTGGGATTCCAGTAATTAATTCACTATTCACATATTAAGATTCATCGCAGGAAGACAGAAAAAATATACAGACTAACAATTCAGTGAAACGTCAGTTTTATGTTTTAACAAAATTGTAAAAGTTTTGCTAGTACTTGTGAGTATGTTATGTTATACTGTGCTACTCTGAAACGTAAATATCTTAAACTGTTGCCAAGAACGCTTTGGTAATGACATGAACAAGAAGACACAGATGTTGGGTCCAGAAATGGTAATGTTAGGATAAAAAAAATATTTCTCTTGACAAATGCTGGCACAATGTCCACTGAAGAGGGAAAAAAAACTGAAGAGAACAAGACTCCGTCAGCTTTCAGTGTTGCTGGTTAGCTGTTGTTAGCTCATTAGCTCCTCTGCCCAGTAACAAACAGATAGTGTACAGTACAGGTTAATGCTCCAGAGGGAAAGTGGACTACATGTGGTCATCAAACTTAGTAATGTGGTGCTAATGTTGGTTATGGCAGTGTTTAGTGTAGGTCTGTGATGGTATTATTGTTTTTTTTCCTTACCTCAGTGATAAAGCAGTTTATCCCTGTGGTTTGTCACTAATAAAAAAAAAAATACCCTCTTTACAGTGTCTTAGGTCATGCAAAAGAAGAATGACACTTTTTGGCCATCTTGTCCTGCGTTATTTCAAAGTAGAAAAACATTTAAAAGTTTAGTTTGCTTGCTTGATCACCAAATAGGTGAACACAGTGCACAATGTTCAGTGCACCATTCAATAAATGTCAAACCATCTATTTAACAATTGATAAATACTAAACAGTGCTGCAAAATAGGAGACTGATGCTGGTTAGCATTAGTTATCTTTGTATTTTCTTATTTGTGAAGCACTTTGAATGACTGCAGTGTATGAAAGGTGCTAAATAAATAAACTTGCTCTAACTGAACGGACAGAAAACCAAAATTAAACCTGCTTTTGGTGTTAGGAACTGCAGCTTGATCGACTAACTTAATGTTAGCTTAGATAACAGAGTTGTTTGTGAAGTAGTGAAGTGATGCCAAATGTAAATACTGATCATTACTGATCAAATGTGATCACCAGCAAAAAAAATGAAATTCAAAAACCAAAAAAAAAAGGCTGTGCCCCGTGGTAGACATCACATGACTGTGGTGTTGCGGTAATGCGGTGATCATCGCAGCCCTAGTTTAGTGCCTTCTTTCCTTACAGCTCTATCAGAGAAGGAAGTCACGTCTAGCATTAGTAACTGAGCCCATGCCAGTGTAAACAGTAATTGAACATGATGCCATCAGGAATGCCATTTAAGGACATTAACTGCTTGTTGACAGCACTGGGCACTCAGCAGGAGAGCAGAAAAAGAGAGAGAAAAATGATGATGAGAGCCCAGCTGGATGGGAACCCATTACTGATGATTACTCAATTAAATAGGGGAAGACACCAAGGAAAAAAAACGAACTGATAAAACTCATTACAGGAGCTTAGACTGCCTGAAAGTGCTTTGGCATCCTCACTCAAAGCCTTCAGTACCATCAGAGCATCAAAGGGGAGTTTGTAATTCGCATTTTGCTCGCCTCCTTAGTCAGCCCCATCTCTGTCTCAGTAGGGAGAAACATTAACTTCTTTTTGTGACTCAGCTGTCTAATGCAGACACTTGGTGTGTTGTAAAGATGGAGCTAAAATGTATTTACATAACTTTATATTCCAGTTAAAAAAGTGTTGCCTAATTTAGTCTGTCTGAAAGTTACAGCTTATATTCTTGTGCTGCATGCTTGTGTCCTTGTGCTGAGTTCTAGTGTTGGCTTTAAATTTGACTGATGAGGCCAAACAAACATGGTTGTTTTTTCTTCACTGTCTTCAGTGCTGTTTGTCAACTGAATTACTGTTGTCATTCGTTCTCGTGCTGCATCATGCCAGCCGTCTGATGTTATGTGCTAATTTTCAAAAAATAAAGTATTTCAGGTGTACCTCATAGATGCCTTCTTTGAAGTGATTCTCAGAGTGGAACATCACTCTCTGACTTTGCATCCTTTCACAGGACTGAAAATGACGGGCTTGCACTTTGGAGCATCTGAGTGTACAACCTGTGGTTTTGTGATGGATTCAGCTTTGAATTCACAAACTCATTTCCTTCAGCAGTAGACAGGAGCCCAGAAGACACTTTATGATAAACTGAAAAATGTACCACGACGGGCTCCCGAGTGGCGCAACCGTCTAAGCGTTGGCCCTATCATCAGGAGATCGCGAGTTCGATCCCTGGTGATGCTACAGCCATCCGTAGCCGAGAGTCCGAGAGAGCACAATTGGCCTCGCTCTCTCTGGGTGGGTAGGATGGCCCCTCCTTCTCCCCCCATCACTCAGCGCGATGCTAGTCAGAGCAGGCGTCTGTTAGCTGACGTAACAGATCTGGTGGTTGGAGCTTTCCTCCGAGCGCGTTCGGCTGTCCAATGACGTTGCGTGAGCGGCAGCTCGAAAAGAAGCGGTGGTTGGCTTCACAGGTCTCGGAGGAAGCCTGTGTTAGCCTTCACCCTCCTAGCGTTGATAGCATCGTGTGATTGGGGGAGTCCTAACTAGCGGGTGGAATTGGAGACGACTAAATTGGGGAGAAAATCGGGTACAAAAAAAAAAAACGTACCACACTAGATATTAGGGGAACCATTTCAAATCACAGGTCAGCTTCTGCTCTTGTCAGTTAATTTTACATTATTAAGTAAAGACAGACAGAGGAACACTTTTGTTCTTGTATTCGTCTCAAGCACGATGTCTTATCTGATGTTACTTGACTGTGCTCAATGCACAGAAGAACAGGAGCGAGTTCTCAGGCAGGATCTTCTCTGCCTGAAACCAGGCCTGATAATTAATATATTACAGCCTCAGAGTCCATTAGACATTTTCTCTTTGTGCAGAAATGGCTGTGCTTGTGCTGATTACAGCTTGCTATAAAACGGATTTGACTGCTGTGCTGAGATAGAAGAAATAATACATCATAGAGCTTTTCTTATAAAATGGATTTTGCATAAATATCGAAGCTGTAGATATGTGGACTTCCTCTTAAGGTCTCTCTTAATAGGATCTGAAAGCCATATGGTGAAGGTGTGTCAGTTGTTAGTTTGCAGCCTCATATGTGCTATTGGAACATCAGTGTTTGGGGTTTGGACAGAAAGTTATTCTTCTTGTCCCCCCTGCAGGACTGAACAGAGTCCTTCTTTGGTTGTAAAACCTTTTAAAAACACTGTTGAAATGTGACGTTGGACATTGCTATGTAGAAATTGCCTTTAGAAAACTTGAACTGACTGCTTTGCTTACTGGTGAATCTCTGACTTTTTTGAACCTTACTCTGTGTGGTCCTCTGGGTTTCCTTGATATTTGTGCCTTTTCAGTATACTATCATTTTCTTTTTAGCATTTTAATAGTTGCTG